CATTTCAAAACTTGCAAAGCAACAGTAATCAGGACTATGGTACTGGCCTAAGGACAAATACACAGATCAATGGATATAACTGAGGGTCCAAAAATACATCAAGACCCTTTGATATGGAAAAATAGTCTCTTCAATAGATGGTGCTTGGAAAACTAGATATCCACATGCAAAAGAATGAGATTAGACCCTTACCGCACACCATATACAACACTGTTTCAAAATGCACCACTGGGGCCAGGGATATAGCTCAGCAGCACAGTGCCTGCCTAGCAAGGGCAAGGTCCTGAGTTCAATTCCCAGTACCAAAAAACAAAACAAAACAAAAAAAACAAAATGCACCATTGACCTACAGGTTTATAGCTGGGCTATAAAACTCTTACAAGAAAACACAGAAATGAATGTTTGTGGTACTGGACTTGGCAATGGATTCTTAAACATGACACCAAAAGCATAAGCAACAACAAAAAACAGCCAGGCATGGTGGCGCATGCCTGTAATCCCAGCATTCAGGAAGTTTGAGACCAGCCTGGGCTACAAAGTGAGCTCAAGGCCAGCCTGAACTGCATAGCAGAACTCTGTCTCAAACAAAGAAAAAAGGAAAGAAAAAAATAAAAAATATTTCATCAAAATTAAAATCAGTTGTGCTTCACTATCAAGAAAGTAAAAAGACAGCCCATAGAGTAGGAGAAACATTTGCAAATCCTGTGTGTGATCAGGAGTTAGCATCCAGAACCTGTAAACTGCTCTGACCAGTCAGTAACGAACCCAGCTGAATACTGGGCACAGGTCTACTCAGACACGCTCTTCCTACATGAGACCCATGTGGCTGATGTGTAGGTGACAAAGGAAGTGGAAATCACAGCACTCTGAGACTATGCCACACTCCCTGGGGCAGCTGTCACTGAAGAAACCAGAAGGTTGGGACAGGACCCAGGGCACATGGGACACCTGGCCGGGACAGGGTGGGATGGTGCAAAAGCCAAGGAAAATGCTGGTGGCTCCTTAATAAGTACGGCATGGAGTTACTGCTGAACTTGAAAAGATGACACTAAATGAAAAGAGCCAAGCACAGCAGACCATGCTGCCGGTGGTGTGCGCCTGTGGCCTTGGGTATCAGGGGTCTGAGGCAGGAGGATGGCTTGAGCTCAGGAGTTCAAGGCCAGCCTGGGCAGTGGTGCCGACCCCATCTCAAAAAATGTCTCGAAAAGGAAAATCTGTAAACAGAAAATAGATCAGTGTGTGCTCTGGGCTGGCAGGGGGATGAAGGCGATCGTTACAGGGACAGCAGGGCTTCCTCCTGGCATAATGAGAACATGGTGTAGTTATTATGGAGACAGCTGCACAAATCTGTGGCTATACCCGAAAGCTATTTAACGGCATACGTAGCTAAGGCAATAAATTTTACAGTATATCAATTATATCTCAATAGAGTTTCTGTAAAAAATTAACTCACAAATTCCAGCCACTTCCTGAAATATGCAAGCTAGAATGACCTCAGGAACTGACACCCTGCAGGCATGGGCCAGTGGAAGCTCAGCCCAAAGAGCGCTCGATGACGGGCCAGGACGCCCTCGGGTTCTCCAGCAGCAGGGCTGTCCTCAGCACAGCCCCAGCTGGAGAGCACAGGAGCCGAGGAGCCTGCGCCTCTGAACAGAACAGGACTTACCCGAGCTGGGCCCACGCCAACAAACATCTCGAGAAACTCAGACCCGCTGACAGTGATGAAGGGGACGTTGGCTTCTCCAGCCGTGGCCTTGGCCAGCAGAGTCTTCCCAGTGCCGGGGGGACCCGTGAGAATGGCACCCTGCAGAGGAGGAGTTGGTCGCCAGTCAGGACTTCCGAGGAGGAACCAACAAGGCACAGCATATATGGCATAGGCATTTTTCAAAAATTTGCTTATTTTCTTTTTTAAAAGCTTTACAAAGGAAGTAAAAATCTAGTACCACTGATGAACCTATCTAAAAAGAAAAATGTGTTTGCAGAAAACCACAGAGAACTTTGGGATGGAGCAGCAGAGGTGCCTAGGACCAAGGGCAGCAGGACAATCACGAGTCGGGGTTCACCCGGGCAGACTGGACAGGCTGCGGGAAGCAGAAACGCCTCCTGTTACGAAGCACTCCTTTAGAGTGGACCTTACTAATGGGTTAGAAAAAGAACCACCCAGACGCATTCATCTACTTCACAGCTGATCCATCAACAAACGTGAAGCCAGCACGTGTCCCTTGCCCTGGGGTACGCAGCCCACGGCTGGACTGGTGTCTCGCTAGCTGGAAGGGGGATGGCGGACGTGAGCTGTCTGTCTCCTCTCCATGCATCCTTTGCCAAGTCCTGCAGTGCCAGGCACAGGCAGTGGCTCAGGACTCTGAGAGGAGCAAACCCAGGTGCCAGCAGAGCCTGCTACGCTACAGGGCTGTGAGTGCCTGTGCAGGGCTGTCCAACTTGGACAGAGGAAGAAGAAAGGAGACTCAGGAAGGCTCTGAGGAGGAGAGAAACAAATATACACACAATCCAGGCAACAAGACCAGGTAAAGATCAGACCTGAAAAGACTGACCTAGCAGAACCTAAGCTAAGCAGCACAGAGAAACAGCCACTGATAGCAAGTTATCCAACTTCATAAAACAACTTCAGAGATCAAGAAATAACTTTAACAATTTTTGGGTGAACCTCTGGAAGTTCACTTTACCTTTGGAATTTTGGCTCCTAGGTCTTGATACTGCTTTGGGTTTTTCAAGAAGTTCACAAATTCCATGATCTCCAGCTTGGCCTCCTCACAGCCAGCCACATCCTTGAACTTGATGTCTATCTCATCCTTTAGGACCTTGGCTGTGGTCTCCCCGACGCTGAAGAGCCCACCCACGCCCCGGCCGCCCCGGCCGATGCCGGCAGGGCCTCGCCGTATGGTGTAGAGCAGAAAAGCGACGATGAGGACCGTGGGCAGCATGCTCAGCAGAAACGAGCTGGAGGAACACGCGTGTTCATGTTCCCAACATGCTTTGCAGCACATGTACTTTCTACAGCTACTTCAGACACAGCTAAAAATATTTTACAATTTATTTTTTTTTATTTTTGTCTTTTTGAGACAGGGTCTCGATATGCAGTTCAGGCTGGCCTTGAGCTCACTTTGTAGCCCAGGCTGGTCTCCAACTCACAACGATCTTCCAGCCTCAGCCTCCAGAGTGCTGGGATTACAGGCGTGTGCCACCATGCCCGGATACAACTTGTTTTCAAATTTAAATACCCTAGTATTTCCTCTGAAGTTCAAGGAGAATGTTAGTATCAATGTCACCGAAGCAGATCGCCAACAGTAACACCAGAGAAGCCTGTTCCCAACGCGTGTGCTGCCTGCGTACTTTGCGGATCCCGTAACCATCGCCTCAGCACTAAACGTCATCGTTACACCTGAGTTGCAAAGAAACTTCTTTTGAACTACTGAAAAACCTAACACAAGTCTGGGGCTAAGCTGGGTCAAAGTCCACTCTCTTACTGAGATGCAGTGAGCCTGTCCTACAGAAAAGCCTTCTGGTGTTGTCCAGCACACACACGCCTCTCTTGCCCCGGGTCACAAATGCCCTAGAGGGAGGTGCTGGCTGCTTAAAGCCTGGGGACGCGTGTAGCCTCCTGTTTCTCACCAGGACAGTTATTCTGACAGAACCATGGCTACAGATGTGTGTTTAGATAGTTAACAGAACGCACTGTAGTTGGCCTAAGGCTGAGAAATATGGGTCAAAAACTGCTACATAGTCAAAACAGAAACAAAAGCCAGGATGTACTAATTTTTTATCTATTATAGAATTTAAATGCTCCTAAAGCAAGCAGCAAAAACCATGGAAAATTCATTTCCATTTCTAGACGAGGAAAAAAAAGTTTTATTGTACTGACAATAGAAACTTTTTACAGGTTATGAGCAGCCCAAATCTTAAACTTGAAATGTGAAATGTGAAATGCGTGAAAACCTGCAATGTCTGAAAACCACCCTGATGCTCAAAAGTTTTGGATTTTGGAGCCTTTCAAATTTTGGAATTTTGGACTAGGGATGCTCAACTGGTGGTGTCTATGCACATACCACAGAGGGTGGAGAAAGCTGAAATCTGAAGTGTGTCTGACAAGGGCCGCTGGACCTGTGCGAGATCTCAGTAGCAGCGGAGGAAGCCTGGAGTCATCTGAAGCTTAAGGGCAGGGAAGGTCCTGCATGAAGCCACAGCACCTGCTGCTTACGGCCGCCCGAGGCAGGGGACTCCAGGAACCCCACGTCCAAGTGGCCCAGCCAACAGCAGATCAGCCACCAGAGACACCGGCTCTTCCACACTCACAGAAAATACAACTGACTTCTGTGTTCACTTGAGAACTGGTAATTCCACAGCAAGGAGCCCTTCTGCACCACTGTGAGTGAGGGGACTGCCGGGCCAAGGTTCTCCAGGTGTGCACGGAAGGGCACTGAGAGGCCCTCTCATTCCCACTAAGCCCAAGGACTCTGCGGTGCAGAGCTGGAGCCCAGGGTTTCACACACTCATAAGCGCTCCACTGACCATACCCTCTCACACACCTCCAGCACAAGCACAACATCCACCCAGACTTGTAAGTGGGGTGATTAAAAACAAAGTGGGGGAAAGGGATCTGGGAAACTATGAAACAGAAACATAACAGTTAAAAGGTAGGGCCGGGCATGGTGGCACACACCTGTAATTCCAGCACTCGGAAGGCTGGGGAAGGAGGATCATTGCAAGTCTGAGACCAGCCTGGGCTACAGAGACCTCAAGGTCAGCCTGAACTGCATAGTGAGACCCTGTCTCAAAAAGACAAAAAATAAATAAATAAAAATAAAAGGTAGGAACGCTACTTTCCTACAAAGGAACTCTTCATGCTAAAACCCTAGAAGGATAGTACTCTGCACATAAAACGTACAAACACTGCCAGGTGTGGTGCAAGAAGCCTATCATCCCAGCACTCTGGGAGGCTGAGGCAAGAGTATCTCAAGTTTAAATCCAGCCTGTGCAACTCAGCAAGACCCTGTTTCAAAATTTAAAAGGCTGGGGATATAGCTCAGTGTGAAGGTCATTGGTTCAATCCTAAATACTGAAGAAAAGAAAAAAAAAATCAAGATAAATGTAAATGTGTAGAATATCAGTCTTGGGCAAAAAATAAGTTACAAACGATTTTTTAGAAGGCCGGCCAAATTTAAAAAGGCCGTTGGAAATCCAGTGTGTGACCTGGTCACATGCACTGCACAAACCGAGCTCACCGCTGATGGTTTTGAAAACACTTCTTACCCGTCACTTTCAGTAACGTAGACAACAGGCACCCGGTCTTCCCCTTCGATGCCCAGCTCCTGCTGTAAAGTTTCCAGATTCCGCTCAAAGGCGTCTACACTGCCAATATTAAACCAGACATATTGCTATAAAAACAGAAAAACAAATATCCTAAGAATGAAGTAGAAACAAAAGGTTCAATTCACTAAAGGGCTCACAGTTAATTTTTTTAATTACAATAATAGAAGACTGCTTTACTGACATGGTGGTCAAGTTTCACTCAGTGGTAACAGCTGGCAACACAGGACGCTGTCTCTGCAATTCCAAAGCTCAGGCCCCAGTCAGGTACGTGTGTCTCTTCCTGCTCTCCACCTCCCAGCACCTGTCCCAGCCAGACGCCACAGCAGCTGGCCTGCCCACCGCGCTCATCCCGAGGAGCGCCACAGGGAGCACTCGAGAAAGGCCCCGCGTCCTCCGCCAGCACCACGCTGCTCTCCCTGGAGCTGGGGTCCCTGGCAGTCCTACACAGGGCTACCAAGGGGCCTGGGTGACGGCCGCTCACCAGCCTGCACAGAAGCATCATTTCTTGGTATCCAGAATGGGTTCCAAACCACCAAGGGTACCAGAGCCCACAGACGCTTGGTCCCATCCAGAAACAGGGACACAGAGCACACACCCCTCCTCCTGTGCTCCTCAAGCCATCTCCAGATGACCTGGAAAACCTAACCCAATGTCAGCGCGTGGCACATGGTCGTTCACTGAACTATTCTGGGAACGCCAGGGAGGAATCTTGTACAGTCAGTGCAGACACGGTTCTTTCCCTCAATATTTTCAACCCACAGCTGGTTGAATCCACAGATGCTGAAGGTGTAGAGCCCACAAACACAGAGGGACAACTGTCCCCTACACTGTGTTAGTGTCTACTGGCTGAATATGAGCCCCGGTCCCTCCAGGTGAGTGACTTAAGCCATCCAGTCACCCTGGAGGAGGAGGCTGGCTCTGGACTCAGACCACCCACACCAGCGCCAGGCACTGTGTTCACGCTCCCTGTGCACAAGCATGCTCAGCAGGTCCTACAAGCATTGGCCCTGTTTTACAGCACCAAAATATTGCTTCTTCTTTAACCTCCCATCACCTTTTAAAAATACTGTTTTTAATCAAAACAGTAAGTCCGAGATGTAAAACTCAGAAGAGAGTGACGACCACCCCGATCCTCGCCAGCGCGCTCCTGGGTGGGACCCTCACTGTACTTCTCCACAATGCCTCAGCAGAAGGAGGGAGGGTAAGCGAGCTTCGTACCAGAGTCCCCAGCAAAGACACAAAACCCTTGTGGTTTCACGCCACAGACGTGCAAGACACATCAGCTCCATGAGGAGGCAGAGTGGTCACTAACTCCGGGCTGTGGGCTCAATGCCTGGCTCTCGCCAGAGACCTGTGAGCAAGGGCGCCACAGGACATCACGAGGCACAGGCCGGAAGTGTGGGCTCCGGGAGGACATCAGGTAAGGACTGGGGGACACAGGGGCTGTTGTATACACTGCAGTCAGGAAACCACCTCTGACTCGCACGACCTCCACTCAACACTCAGCCCCAGACAGCATTACCGATTTCCCACTCGGACGCCGAGGCCAGGGCTTGGATGAGGGACACCTCACAGGGGAGCGGTGGAAGCCAAGGCCCGTGCATGCACAGCCCAGAGCGTCAGTCAACACTGCCACTCCACGCCACATTGCGGAAAGCCCTCCACCTGTTTCTGAAAGCTCCAGTGAAATGCTAATAAACAGGCAACGTGCATCCTCACAGAAAACTCAGAAACACACACAGAACGCAGAGTTCCCACAACCTCGGCCTCCGCGAGCCCCACCAGCACACCTCAGTGCCTGCCTTCGAGAGGTGCAGTGCCTGCCTCCAGATTCTGAAATACCTGCCTCAGGGCAAGAAGAAACCAGCAGCGACTCTAACTGAACACAAAGGAGAGCGCGAACGAGTCACAGCTCCCGGACGCCTGGACAGGGCCGCTCCGATGCCAGCACCGCCCTCCTGCGATGGCGGTGCTGGTTGTCACCACGAGGCAGCACAGACACAAGACAGCTGGGAACAACCACGCAGGAGAGCGCCAGGGGCCCAGGCGCTAACTCCGGCGCATGCACCGGCTCTAACTCCCGCACCTATGCCTTTAAACACAGCCTTAGCTGTTACTCCAGGTGATAACTCCAGCCCTCTTCCTTAACCATGCTGCTTTGCAGTCATCCACAAAACGGAATGCCGGCCTGCCCCGTGTCACCTGCATGTCCAGCACTCCGTTTCCACTCACTTGGGTTACACCTGGTGCGCAGCCCACCCCGCTGTCGCCAGGGTACACACCTCCTCACAGGAGGGACGTTAATATACAACCGTGCCTGTCCACTAATGACATAACTTACCCCATCAACTGGAGTCTTTCCTGGTATGAAAGTCACTCGAACAAAACGCTTGTTGACAACTTCCAGTCTGTCTACCTAGAAATTTAAAAAATTAAATTATCAACATACCTTTGCAGAAAATACTCGCGAGATTCCCACAGGCACTTTGCATGGGATGCTTCACTTACAAAAATGACCAGCAGAGGACACCTGCATTCTCACCACTCCAGCTCCCTGAGGTGACCCTGCTGAGGCCCGCTGCCGGCACACGGGGCCTGCGCCACACCTGTGACCCCAGGCGATCCTACGGTGGGACAACCTGCCCTCCGTGTCTGGACAGGCTTGTTCTGCTCTCCCACGCCTCCTCTTCCCGCCAGCGCTACCTCTGTGAGGGTTACCAGGCTGCCCTTTCGGTTCTGTGGGGAACAGAACCCCCGGCAACCACAGCTGAAGTCACTCGTCCGTTCTCCTAGTGGTAGACAGGTGGTTGTCTGGAAGTCTTCACCACCACCACCAACGGTCCTGTGGACCCGCTGGGTGTTCACCACAGACAGATGCCCTGAGGCTCGGCCACCTGCTTCCTCAATGGCTTGCCACCCCTCACAGCCACAGTCTCCTGTCACTCCACACCTGCACTGACACCTGCTATCCCAAGACCTCTTAATTCTAACTGTTGAGTGCAAGACGGTTTACATTTGTTTTCTTGCTCTCCTAAATCTCCTACACAGGACTCAGCAGCACCTCCAGCACCTCACTCTAAGCCTCAGCTGACTCAGGAGACAGCCCACATGGACGGTACAAGCGACACACAGAAAGGAACCTCTGGGATATTCCAGAGCTGACAGCATGGGGGTGACTGTTCCTCAGGTGGCCAGTCTGGCAGGGAAGGGCTCCCAGTACTCCCCAAAACTGAAGCCCAAGAGCCAGCAGGCTCGGAGAGGAGCAACTGCGGACCCTCATGTGCCCGTGGAAGGAGAGCCGCAGGGCGGTGCGCACAGCGGCCGGGGAGAAGGCTGTCCGGACACCGCCCTCACTTTCAGGGCACAGGCTCCCACTTCGGAGACCCGAGGCGCTGAGAGGAGCTGGGCAGACGGAGAGCATGGAGCCTCAGGTCCGCCCCCACCTGCCATGCAGGCGTCTGCTGAAGCCACCACACGCAGGGGAGGGCAGGCGCTGAAGGGCCAGCTACAGATGGAGAGCAGGACGCAAGAGGAGGAGGAGGGAGGAAAAGGAGGAAAAGGAACAGCAACCTGGACGGGGAGAGAGGTGATTCCAAAGGAGGCGATTAGACTCACAGGTCCAGTTTTCAACAACAAAACTGAAAATAACGAAGCACACAAAGACAGAGAAGTATGGCTCATTCAAAGGAAAACAGACATAAGCTCTCCCCAAAGAAGAGCTGATGGCAGATATATCAAAGAATTGAAACACTCAAAGAGGCAGGCAAGGTGACACATGCCTGTAATCCCAGCACTCGGGAGGCTGAGGCAGGAGGATCATGAGTTCAAGCTCAACCTGGGTGACTTACCAACTTAGCAAGAACCTAACTCAAAACCAAAACAAAAGAAAGAAATTAAGGGGCTAGTGATGTAGTTCAGTACAAAGGCCCTGGGCTCAATCCCCAGGGGGAAAAAATATAAAGCTCAAAATACTAAAAAGAAAATACAGAAGAGGTCAAGAAAATGATGTATGAACAAAACATAAGTATCACTAAAAAGAAGAACAGAGATAAACCCTGGAGCTGAAAAGTACAATAACTGAAATGAAAAATCCAACACAGGGGCCCAAAGGTAGAAGGACAAATCGGTGAGCAACAGGACAGTTGGTATCACGGAGAAACGGCTGGAGAAAAGTGAGCAGAGCCTCAGGGACCTGCAGCACCCACAAGTGGTCAGACTCAGACACCACTGCAGTCACAGAAGGGGAGGAGCAAGGGCAGAAAGACACTTGTAAAGAATATGGCTGAGTGCTTTCCAAATTTGATGAAAAACAAGAATAAATACATCTGCCCAGCTAGGTGTGATGTGTGCATGCCTGTAATCCCAGCACTCGGGAGGCTGAAGCAAAAGGATGGTTGTGAGTTCAAGACCAGCCCGGGCTACAAAGTGAGCTCAAGGCCAGCCTGAACTACATAGTGAGACCCTGCCCCCAAAAGAAAAAAAAAAGAACACCTGCCCGATGAACTTCAGGAAAATGAATTCAGACACAAACTGAAAACATTATACATAATAAAATTTATGAAAAACTCTGATGAACGAAAGCCCAAGGCCAGGTGTCTTCACTGGTAACTTTAAAAAAAAAAAGTTAAAGAACTAACAATAACCCTCAAGTATTTCCAAAAAGGCAAAGAAGGAGCACTTCCTAATTCACCTTTTGAAGCCAGCATTTCCCTGACACCAGAACCAGACAAAGACACTACTGAAAGAGAACTGCACACCAGCACCCCTTAGGAACACAGACACAAAAACCCTCAAGAAACCAGCAAGCCATACCCTGCACAATAAAGGACTAAGTGGGACTTATTCCAGAATGTTCGGACAGTTCAGCACACAAAAATCTCCTGATAAGGAATAAAACTTCATGTGAAAAGCATTTGACAAAACTTAATACCTTCTCATAAAAAAATTCAATAAACTAGAAATACAAACCACACAATGTAATAAAAGCCATACAAGTAAACCGCAGAGAGCATGCACACAAAGGTGGAGCGCTGTCAGCTCCCTCAGATCAGGAACTCGGCAGGAGAGCCCCTTCCACCGCCGTACACCACAGCACCGCACGCGTCAGGAGGACCGACGGGCAGACAAGAGCTAGGGGCCAGGCCATGTGACCGGTTACGGGGGCCCAACGATGTGACTTAAGCCCCCCAGTCCCGAGTCCTTGCTTCAGGAACAGGGAGGGAGGGACAAGGAAGGCCAGTGCCCCCTGGCTAGGGGTGGAAGGCTGCTAACCTGGCAGTCCTGAGGCAAGACAGCATCTGTTGAGGACAGTTGTCAGCATACAGGCATCTGGGTTTGGAGAAAAATCTGGGTCCTCATTGACAACCCTTATCCACCCACTTTCTATAGTTACTGTTCCGTGAAACGCGTGCGACCCCACCCCCACCCCCGCATGTGCCTTTTGCTAGCAAATAAAAGCGAATCAACAGTAGAGGTAGCTGAGTCAGTCAATGGTAAAGGTAGCTGAGCCAGTCCACCAAAAGCAAGCCCCTCCAGGTCTCCTTGTACATGAAATGCATTTCTTTACCTTTATTCCCTGCCACCCCCCCATACATATATCTGAGGGTCTGATCAATCCCCACCCTTAGTAAAAAAGAAACAAACAGCATCCCACCTAGAAAGGAAGAAGTCATCTCTGCTCCAGATGCCATGATCTTACATCCAGACAATCCTAACACCACCACAAAAAACTGTTCAAACTAATAAATGAAACTTCGGCAAACAGGATTAAAGTCAACACACAAAAACCAATCATCTGAAAAGGAAATTAAGAAAACACTTCCAAGCCAGGTGAGGAAGTGCACGTCTGTAAGCCCAGCATTACGAAGGCTGAGGTAGGAGAATCGAGGCCAGCCTGAACTACATAGTGAGACCCTGACGCAGGGAAAGGGAAAGGGAAGGGGAAGGGGATGGGGAAGGGGAAAGGGAAAGGAAAAGGGAAAAGGAAAAGGAAAGAAAAGGGCTCTAGGCTGAGGACACAGGTCAGGAGCAGAGCACCTGCTCAGCACATGAGAGGCCCTGGTTTGGCCCCCAGAACACCAGTAACAAAAAAGTAATGTCACTCACAAAAATATCAAAATGAATGCAATACTCAGGGATCAACCTCTTCAGTGAACTAAAGAAAGGACTTGCATAATGAAAACTACAAAACACTATGAAATTACACAACACTGATATCTGAATAAATGGAAACGATCCATGTCCACGGACTGAAGACATAACACTGCTGCAACGCTAATACTACTACTCAAAGCAAGCTACAGATCAATGCAAACCCTACGAAAATCACAATGTTTTACGCAGAAATAGAAAAATTCATCCTAAGAGTCATATGAAATCTCAAGGGAATAGCAACCAAACAAAATAAAACACAGAACAAAATGAAATGAGGGGTTGGAAGGTAGGGAAATGGGGAAAAAAGGGAAAAGAGAAACGTTGTATCATATACAGGTACAAACTCTGTATGATGAATGTAACCTCTATATACATCTAAAATGTACCAATAAAAGTTGGGCACGGTGGCACATGCCTGTAATCCCAGCACTTGGAAGGCTGAGGCACAAGGACTGTTCCAAGTTCGAGACCAGCCTGGGCTACAAAGTGAGTTCAAAGCCGGCCTGGGCTGCATAGAGAGACCCTGTCTCAAAAAGACAAAAAATTTAAAAAATAATAAAATAAAATGTATCAATAAAATCTTATTTAAAAAAAAGAAAAAGAAAAAAAACTTAATAGAAATGCAAAGCTAGCCAGGTGTGGTGGTGCATACCTGTAATCCCAGCACTTAGAAGGCTGAGGCAGGAGGATTGCTGTGAGTTCGAGGCCAGTCTGGGCTACATAGCAAGACCTTGTCTCAAAAAACAAAACAAAACCACAGAGCTAAAGGACTCATACTTCAAGATTTTAAAACTTACTACAGGGGCTGAGCATGTGTACAACGTGATTGAGACCTTGGGTTTAAGGCTAAGCATTGTCAAAAGGACAAAATAAAACCTGCGCAACAACAGAAAACTTACTACAAAGCTACAGCACTCGAAGCAATACGGAGCTGGGATAACAACGGACAATGCAGCAGAATATACAGCCCCAAACCAACCCTCACATATACGGTCAAATGGGAGAAGGCCTGTCTCTTCAACAAGGGGGGCTGGGAAAACTGAATACCCACAAGCTAATGGACAACACCGGACCCTACACCATACTACTGACAAAACTTAACTCAAAATGGGTTAAAGACCTACAAGACAGACCTGAAATTACATTAACCTTTACAAGAGAATATAGAGTATAAGCTTCACGACATTTGATCTGGCAAGGATTTCTTGGACACCAAAGGTATACGCAACAAGAGAAAAACAGAAAAAATGGATTTCATGAAAACTTTGAACTTTGGGCCTTAAGTAAGTGCTGTGCACAACAGAGTAAAAAGGTAACCCACAGCCTGGAAGAAAACATGCCTGAATCTTGTATCTGCCAAGGGAGTGTTACTGAGAACTCACAAAACGCAACAACAATACAGTAAAGACCTGAGTGGACACAAAACACAGGTGCACAAGCGCCTACTAGCGCATGAGAAGGAGACAAAGGGAGGTGCTAGTGTGCTCACAATCAGGAGCGAAGTATTCAGAATCTTCCATTTTTTAGTTCCTCTTCGTGACTTCTAATCAATTAAGACACAAAACAGAAACTGCGAAGACTATTTCCGGGCTATTATCTAATTCCCCTCTTACAAACAATTATTTGATTTTCTCTTATTTTTTCTTTAATCAAACTCTGGAATGAATAACCCAAGAGTTCATTTCCTCCCCTCAGTATTAAAGATCACACCCAGGGCCTTCACATTGAGCTACATTTGCATCTCTCTTGTGACTTTTGAGACATAGTCTTGCTACACAGCCCACGATGGGCTGGGACTTGAGATCCTCCTGCCTCAGCCTCCCAGAGTGCTGGGATTATAGCTGTGCACCATCATGGCCAGCTCTGAGTCTCTTATGATCAAACAACTGAAATTATTCAAAGGATGTATGAAGATTTTAAGATTCTTTACACATACTGCCAAATTTCCTGCATAACTACCTATTTCATATACTTTTCTCTATCAATCTAAGTGTTATCTTTTTATTAATAACCACAGCCAAGTTGGTTTCTTATTTTTAATTTGCAGTATGTGTTTCTTTTTCTGACTTTTCCTCTCACTTGTATTTCTTCCTTGGTAGCTAAATACATCTTTTGCCTGAACTGGAACATTCGTCCTGGTCTTAATACAGTTCATCTGAACAGCAATTACTTGGCAATACCGTGTACACTGGGTCTGGAAACACCGAGTAGACGAGCGTCCCCACCCTGGCATTCCTGTGCAACTGTGGACTCTTTGTAGATCTCCAAGTACTCGTATCTTTACCTCACCCATGTCACTGATGGAACCCAAGCACTGAGAGGGGAGTGTAGTTTCCCTGAGGTTACCCAGCAGGCTTAGTCTTGGTTCTGTTCTTAACACGCGCCTCAACTCTCAGGTGCATGCTTTTGTATTTTAAATCTCAGAAACGGAGATCCATCCCACCGATGGCACGCTGGGCAAACCGTGATGGGCAGCTCATCACAAACGTTTTATTAATACATAAAATACCACGTGCCTTGCAGTCGGTGGTATCTGAAACACATGGGAATGCGGGCTCCGAGGGCAAAGGGCCAGTGGCAGGATTCCACGGCCAGGGCCCCCCTCGGGCCTCTGGCTGCTCTTAGGTCCCATGGCTCTACTCAGCTTTCACCCCGTGGCCCAGAAGCTGTACAGGCATCACTTGGGTCAGGAGGCTGGGGCACAGCATCTTGGCAAGCAGCCACTGAGGGGCAGAGGACGGGGCAGTAGCAGGGGAGAGGCTGCCAGTGCCAGGTATGGGCAGTGCTTCCACACGGGTTTCTCAATTGCAGGGCTTTCTGACATTAGAAAAACCCAATGTGAAAACAACTGGACAAATTTCTAGCAAAATTTCACCTTCTGACCACCTCAGCTCCCAACCCCACAGAATACTTACTATGCCTTTGGAGAGATAGCTATTGACAAAGTCCTTCCAAGTGATTTCTCTCCCGGAGCGCTTGAACAGGATGTAAAGCATGACTCCACCCCAAAACACAGCGGTCCAGAGAAAGTACAACCTGAAGTCCTTGTCATCCCACGGAAAGTCACCCTAGGCAGAGGAGGGAGTCTGTGAAGAACGGAACTCCACATGACCTATGCGGGGAGTCACCAATCCCCCCCCACCTTTCCCAGAGCCACCACCAGAACCTCAAGATCAGCACAGAGCTTAAGAATCAAACCTTCTGGAACCTGGACCACCAGTGGGAATCGTCCTTCTTGCCCCGGCGTTTTCCTCCACTGCCACCTGCTTCCCGGGAAGAGCGCGGGGCAGTCACTGGTTTGGGTTCTGACATGGACAAAGAACGTACAGAAAGCAAGGCAGGCTTCGTAGTGTTCATGGGTTTTCCCATACACAGGGTAACAAAGATCTGACCCAAAGTGCGTTGTGTTGACTGTCAGCTACTGAATAAAGCACTCTAAGGAACACAGAGCAGGGGCCCCGACAGGGCCCAGTGCTCTGCCTACGGCAGCCCCTGAACTACACTCTCCCCAGAAGGGTGCTGCTACCACACCCACTTCACAGGGAAGGAACTGGGCTTCAGCAGCTCGTCAGGCACTTACGGCTGTACTGAGTAATGCTAGCTAAGCAACTGGGGTTTAAAACCTAGACAAACAGCGTCCTGAGTCCACAGTTAGAAGGCAAGCGCCCCTTCCCACTCCCACAAAGGAGACACCAGACAGCAGGATCTGTGCTTGGGAGGCCATGACTTCAACAACGGACTGGGTGCAGCTCGGGGCAGAGCACTTGCCAAACATGTGCAAGGCCCTGGGATTGATTCCCAGCACCACGTCTCACACACATGCATGCACACGTGCACGCCACCACTAACAAAAAGCAAACATAACTGTATTCACACATAACTGGTGTGCAGGAATGTGACACTACTCACTGTTACAGGTTAAACTCGCCCACCCTCCCATGCCCAATTTATACACTGAAGTTCTGACCCGCATATCTCAGATGTGATCTCACAGAAACAAGGTCTTTACAGAGGTCACCAAGTCAAGATGAGGCCATTAAGGTGAGCCCTAACCAATACAACTGGTGTCATTACAAAAGCAGAAATCTGGACAGAAACACCACACACACCCAAGTGGTGATGTGAAGAGACACAGAAAGAAGTTGGTCAGCTACAAACCTAGAAAGATTCCTCTCTCACGGCTCCCAGAAAGAACCAACCCGTGGAGACCTGGCCTTTGGATTTGCAGCCTGTGGAACTACTACCCTTTGTAACAGCCGCTCTAACAGACTAACTAGACACTTCTTCCATCTTCCCTTCCACCTCTCCATCCTCCCAACTCACAATGTCATCGACCCTCTTCAGCTAACAGGATGCAGGCTACCAGAGCAGGCTGCAGGAACCCTCACCCACGGTAGCTTCATGATGCTCACCACACGTGCTGCACACACGGAGACAGGCACGAAGCATGCAAGCTCTTTACCACCACCCCTAGCCCAGCTCAGCCCAGGGAGACACAGGCCCGGGGAATAGTCAGCATACTGCTCCAGCGGTGCTGGCGTTCCAACTACTTTGAGCCTAGGTGACAGCAATGCAAAAGGACCTAACAGGATGTGCTTGTACAGCGGAACTACTATCTCATTCTTCTGCCCCAAACCAAGATTCCAACCAGTGACCAGCCAGGGAAAGCCTGTGGCCACGCTCCCGCCCAGGGCCTGGGCTGCCTCTAGCCACACCGCACTTCCTCTCCTGACTCTCACACTCACTTCTCTGCGTTCTCTGAGCACATACTTGTCTCTCCTGCCCAAAGACAAGTTCATTTGAAACCAGAGGTACAGCTTGGCGGAAGCACCTGCTTAGCTTGTGTGAAGTCCTGGGTTCGACCCTCAGTACCACCACCAATAAAAAGCCACAGGCTGACCTATATTTTCCCTATATTTCCCCTAAAAAAAAAAAATGAAGCCAGTTAAATGCCAACACATGCCAACACTGTGGTAAATGGTATCACGCTTGTGAAATGGGCACAGGAGGCTCAGAGTCCACCTGACCCCAGCCACCCAGGCCTAAGAAACCCCCTCTGAATCCCAAACGTAAGACTGAATTTAATCAAAGCTCAGGAACAATTTTAAAAACAATTTAAAATAAACTGCATATATTGGGTTTCTAAGACTTTTGTCAATTGTTTAAGTTATGTGTCAGGTGTATCTACCAGACAGTCTCAGTTTGATCAGTCAGTATCTCCAAGGTGACCTTAAATTACTTGAAATATGACAGGAAAAGATGAACATAAAATTAAAGTAAAATGAAACACAGGGTCTACAGAACTTTGTTTGTACCTGTAGCTGATAGTTTCAAAACTGACTCAAAACTCTTTTTTCTGGTTAGTGGAAACTATCACCATCATTTATTAGGGAAAACAATAAATTCAAATGTAATCTTTTAAAAAGGTACCTTTTTTTTCTCCTGTAACTTCTTTAGGTTCACTAGCTTTTTTCCCGTTTTTTCCATTAGGAAAATATTTTTCAAATCCTGTTAGGAAAAAAAAAAATTCTCAAATTAAAATTCATTTAAATTTTGTGTGAGTTCACTTGTTTTTAGGCAGCTGATATGTTATCAGAAAGCGTAAGCTAAAAGTGTGACGTTCCTTGTGCAAGTACCTCAAAGCCTAAAGAACACAGTTCACAAGCCAGAGGTGTTAAAGAAGCCCCTCCTTTAGAGCAACGCATCTGTAAATGTATTACAGGTGAAGGTGACACACTTTCATCTCTGCAATCAGAAATAAGCTGCAGTAGGGGAGAGGGCACAGGAGAAGGAAGAAGCTAAGAGTTGCCCTGACCCTGAAAGTGAGGCATGCACTTCAAAAACACCTACGGAGGCCTCAGCAAGAACACAGAACATGCGGCCACACCTAAGCATTTACCTTTGGGAGGGCGAGAACAGAACCTCTGATACGCAGCAATCACCTCTGTCAGAAGAGACCTTCTGCTGGCTGTCGCTTGTGCTGTAGCACATTGATAGAGCTGCAACAGGACAGAAAAACAAAGGCACGAGGGTTACTCAGGATACAACCGTCAAAAGGGCTCCACCGCAAGCATCACAAAGCAGCTGAAAGCTTCACCTTCCACAGATGCACACACCAGTGCAGAAGACTCCACTCAGGAAGAACTATGGTCACCTGGCACCACTCTACTCTGTTCTAGCAATAGAGCAGGACAGACAGACACCACCATCCCCCAGCAGCCCAATTACAACTATCCACAACACAGGCACTCTGGCAGTGTTTACCTAGCTGCAGCACTGGTGCTGCTTTGTGCTGACCCATTTTCAGGATCTTTAACACTTGCGTTAACTGCTAGCTTTCCATCACTCTGACAAAACACCAGACATGACCAGCTTACAAAAGAAGCAGGATGCTGGCCCATCTTTAACACCTCTGGCTCGTGAACTGTGTTCTTTAGGCTTTGAGGTACTTGCACAAGGTTCTGAAGGTTCAGTTCATGTTCCCGGTCCCACTGCCCTGAGGCCGTGACAAGGAAGCGCACGGTGGGGGACCACTTGCCTAATCAACCAGAAGCAAAAGAAGAGGGGCTGGATCGCAACTCTCCCACTCCAGGGCCCACCCGAGAGACCTCAAGAGCTCACCCGAACCCCACTTCTAAAGGCTCCACTGTACCTCCCACAGCTCCACAGTAGCGACCAAGCCTTTAACACATAGGCCCTGAGGGACCTGTGATCCCACCTATGCTAACACTCATAAGTATCCAAGGCCAAGGCCAGTGCTGCCTGCAAGAATAATACTAAATTTTCCTAAACTCAAGAAGAAAGCTATGGCCCAACATCACTGATAACTTTTTTTTTTCACTCTTCAAAGTTTTATTTCATTAACTTCAAATTTCCACAACTGTTTTCTGGTCAATCTACTATCCTTGCTTGCCTTCCCAAAATGGTAGTACCAGAAAACGTGGGGTAGGGAGAAGAGACCTCCTGAAGAAACACTGCATTTGCTCATCTTCCACAAGGAAACAGAGGTGGGCATCTGACTATTCAACAAAACAAAGCTTTAACAGCACCCAGGAGGGCAAACAGGCAACCCGGGGTGTAGACACTCTTCCACTTGTCAAAACCAGACCAGAGGAAACCTACTCCACACAGATATAAAAGGCACCAATATTCATCTTTTCTTTTTTGTTGCCACAACATTTTTCTTTTAATTATGATACCATGCATTTTTTTCCCCCCCCTCCGGTACCGGGAACCAAACTCGCGACCTTGCGCTTGCCAGGCAGGCGCTTTTGCCGCTGAGCTAAATCCCCAGCCCCTTACCATGCAGTTTCTCAAGTCCTTCTTTTAGGCCATCTCCTATGACTGCACAGGTGGGCTGTAAATGCCAAGGAGTGGATGAGCTCAGTTCACCCATTGCTAACAATTTCTCAATTTCTGTGAGGCAGTGAGTTCCTCAGATCCTGTTTGTTAGCAGTTATAAGTACAGGGACTCCTTGTTTTTCAGATATCCTAGTTATTTTATGAAGTTCCGTTTTGGCTTCTTCCATCCTTTCAGCATCAGCCGAGTCCACAACAAACACTATGCCATCTGTGCATCTGGTGAGACTTCCACAGGGGCCTTAACTTCTCTTGACCACCTACCTCCCAGAAGTGAAAAGTGACTGTTTCAGAATCCCCCAAAGCTACCTTGATTTTCTCAGTGTTGAATCCTTTGGTATGTACAGTATTTACAAATTCATTGAACTGCAACCTGTGTAAGACTGTTGTTTTTGCAGCACACACAGTCCAAACTCAGGTAACACTGCAGCAGGACTGAAAGGAAGGCAAGCTTGACAGGACAGACGTCTGGGCTGACTGTCCACTCCCCCTTTCCAGGGACAAGTAAGTGTCCTAAACTGAAATACTGTCTTCTTACTGTTTTAGCGTTTCTCCTCCTTGGTGACCCAGCTACAAGACTGCAGCTCACCCGTCCCGAGTTCACATCGCCCACAGCCGCCAGGACGTCAGTGAGGCCGGACAATGACAGGGACAAGCCCAGTGGGCACCTGGGCCAGGCCGTGCTACTGATAACTCTTATGCTAGCGACACGTGGTAAACATTTGTGATCTATGATAACCAGATGAGAACCAGGTTACATAAGTCCCATTACAGACATATTTTCACTTTATATAACAAGTTGCTAAAAATTTGTAAACATGGCTTAAAGTACAGTATAAACGAACCAGTAAGTTCTCTTAAATTTTTAAGCTGCACAACTAAAAGTAATTAGTGTCAAGGGGCACGAGAAGATATACCCAAATCTGGCAGAAAAAAGGTACAAGTAATTTTTACCATTTTGAAGGTGAAAATTCAGCACCATGGCAGGTAGCAAACCATGGTGTCAGTGTTTAAAGCAAAGTTCACCTGTATTAGCATCCATTATCACTTGGTTCTTTGGTCTGATGAAATAAAACATCAAAAATAAAGTCCTTCATAATAAAGGCCCTTCACATCCATTAGGGTGGCTATAATGAAAAAAGACACGTGTTGGTGAGCATGTGGAGACATTTCTAGTCCCCCATTCCTTTTCTCCAATAAATTTTCCTACTTAAAAACAAATGAGATACTAATTCATCAAGGTTGGACGTGGACACCTAATCTTTGCTTGGCTTTCTGTCTGATAATATGAACACTTTTTAGTTGCTTTTTACCAGTTTTACTCCTCTGAGCACGGTACCTGAGAAATGGCAACACAGCAAAACCTTTCCCCCAGGTCCTCACTGTGACAGCACTTCTTCCTGATCTTTAACAGCGACATGACCCTAAGGACAAACCTGTTCTATCAGACTCCCTCACTGGCACAGCCATTGGGTGTCCGCGCCCAAGCCGGGAAATAGGTATCACCAACACACCCCCCCAGCATGGACTTCCCTCTATCTCAGCACGGTGACTCAGGGCCACACCAGTGCCACTGGGAAGAAAGGCCGTTTAGGTAAGAGTCCTGCCATAAAAAATGCCAACTCACAAGACAGATCCCTACCCACCCACGGCATGTGAGTCCCATACCCATTAGTGGCAATAGAAATGGGATCAGAGCAAGGTAGGTGTGAAAACGGTCAAATGCAAGGAACTGAAAAACGCAGTGCAGACAGCAGAGCGCGGAGAGACGGCCGGCAAGGGAAAACGGCAGGCTGGGAAGGGAGCCCAGCACTTCATGGATGCAAGCACAGTCAGCCCTCCACACCGAAGGGTTCACATCCCTGCGTTCCAAAAACAGCCCGTAGAACACGCTGAGAAAAAAGTTTCGTTGTCTGTGGCGAAGACCGCCCGCCCGGCATTACTCGCTAAACTGTACTGTCTAACCACGAGGTGTTTACACAGCGTCTGCCCTGTACTAGGCGCGACAACCAATCTAGAGACGACCCAAAGCGTAAGGGAGGACGGGCGCGGGTTAAACGCAAAAGCCCGTCTCTTATCAAGGGACTGATCGCTGCCCCTGTGGATGTGCCAGGGTCCTGGAACTCTGCAGCCCTGCGGACCCCGGGGACGGTGCAGCACTGTCCCGCCTCTTAAGTGGAGACGCAGCGCCAACTCCTCCCGCACAGCCGGCTCCGTGAAAGGGGTCATCGCGCGGGACGCGACGCAGGTTCAGGCGGCCGGCGCGGCTGACGCCTCGTTCTAAGGCGGAGCCCGGGGACGGGCGGGCCGCGCTCCCGCGCCAACCCCACCTCCCGCG